TTCTGAAATAAGCAAGAGGTCCCTTTTGAGGAAACGGGAACAAGTTTTACATGTTTGCTCCTACGTGTTAGCGCTTTTTTCAATATTTGAAGGACTCCTTCCGAGCAGTAGTACAGGTGTGAGCTTTTTATCTTCTGTTTAGATATTTAGTTGAAGATAAAACTGGTGGGAGTGCCTTGTGTCTTTCTGTACTTCAACTGTCTTTAGTAATCATGCAATTAAAACTTTTTATTCTGCTGTCATGTGGCAGGTATTAAGATACCACTGTGTTGCTAAGAGTGAAGTTGAAATATCTGATGAATGCAGAGTGATGCTGGAATTGTACAATGGTTGGAAAACTGATTTCAGTAACAGCCTCAAAAGTAGTGTTGCATAGTACCATTTTTCTTAATTTTCTTTTTCTGTTTAATCGATCAAGTTGTGTGTACCTTCATTATTCATATATTTCTCATTTATCTCTTAGGTTTACAAAAGATACTGCCAGGTTCAAGGATGAATTAGATATTATGAAGTTCATTTGCAAAGATTTTTGGACGACTGTATTCAAAAAACAAATAGATAACCTAAGGACTAATCATCAGGTACTAATACTGCAGAATAAGATTTAACTTACAAAATCAGTAACAGTTTTGAGTTACTAGCACATTTTTGTTTTTCTTGGTCTAGAATTAATTACCTGATAAGAAACACAAAAACCTTATTTGTTTTGTTTTAAAAGGAGGTTTTAAAGATTCATATTAGCATGTAGCTTCAGAATTCAATTTAATAATTGCTTGAGATATCTTTATTGCCACCCTTGTTTGAAATGACCAAGTGCTTTGAATTTCATATGTGCTGTGGTGGAGTTACAAACTGTCAGGACAGTAACGGTTACAGTTGATAACACTTAAACAGGAATGTTCTTATGTACCTTCCAATAAATTTTAGTAGAAAAGTAGTGTGAGAAAGTGCTAAGTGTTGTCTTAACATCTGTTTAAATAGAATTGCTGCCTTGAAGTAATTTTTTTTTTTTATTTTGAAGAATATTTAGAATTTTCAGCAGTTGAGACAGTTGCATTCTACTGAACATACTTGTATAGGAAACAGCGGAAAAACTTCTCGGATTTGCCTGTTGGTGACGTTATGTTTTATCTATGCCCTTTCCCATTTCAACAGCCACAGTTCTTAAAGCAAGATCAAAATAATTAATAATAATAAGGAGCCATTTTACTAGAGTAAAAAAATCTTTTTCCTTTTAAAAGGCTTCATTTTCTTATGGACATTTTCCTGTTTTATCACAGTAAGAACAAGAGTATTTGTACAAAGACTGTGCCAAATAAAATGGGTTTTATTTTTCAGTGAGCTGTTTATCGAGTAATAACTTAACAGATAGTAAGTACCTTAGAAATCTGTTTTTGAATTCAAAGAAAGCTGCAGTATTTAGCTTAGGTCTCAATTGTATATGCAGCCTTAATTTAATGCCAAGGGTTCTGAAGTTCCAAAGTAGCACAGTCATTATGAAAGAAGTTTAAAACAAGAGGTGTAGATTAAGCTATACTGTGTTCATACTTAATTTATTAAAACGCATATTGTGGCACAAAATTGTAATGTAGAAAACACTGGACTTCATTTGATCATCTGCTGGGTGGTGCTGCCTGTATCACTGTTAAAGATAATTCTCACTGAATTTGAGAACAAGAATAGTGAATTGCATACCAAATGAAGATTGAGATTGGAATGGAAAAACCAGCATGCATTTGATATATTAACAAAGACTTTCTAATATGGAACTATTGTTTCTGAGCACTGGAAAGACTCTTCCAAGAAGAATGTAAATAAATTTTTTTTTAAGGTTAACAGATAATATTATTATCTAGGGGTTTTGTTGTAAACTCACAAGCATCTTTTCTTTTGTTTTGATATTTCATGTAAGTAAATAATACAGGTTAAACTTAAATCACATATGTATCTACAAATCAAATCCCTTCACATAAAATATTGATTACATATTACTGCATATTCAACTACAAAACTTTTTTTTTTTTTTTTAAACAGGGTATTTATGTCCTTCAGGACAATAAATTTCGTCTCTTGACACAAATGTCTGCAGGAAAGCAGTATCTAGAACATGCACCAAAGGTATCCTAACGTTTTATCTTTGGGATCTACCAGTTTGATTTGAATTATCTTGATCTATTAATAATAACTTTAAATTTTGTGATTGAATGGATACAAACTCTTCAAAGTGGCAGCTGAAGTTTAGTCTCCAAAATCTGAGCTTTTTAGAAGTGCACCTTGTTTTGGAACAGTGGATTTGATTTATGGTTCAAGAAATGGTCATAGTCATTGTGAAACTCGCAGTTGTCACGTTTGAGTTGCTTGATGGTAGGAGCTGGTCTGCCACTATCACACAAACTCTTTCTTTCTCTTTGGAAAGCTTCAGAAGCTTTTTTAAAATTTCCAAAACATATTTGGAGGATGCTATTTGTTACCTAGAACAAGCTTCTGAGATTATACGAACATTCAGAAAGATCTTCCACCCATTAAAAATAGCTTTGAGTGTTGATGCTGAGTTAGGGTCATAATTTGGGTAGGTAAAATCAGTGCCTCTGCAGAACCTCTTATAAAGCACTTTGGTTCAGGTGGATGTAAGAAATGGGGCATTCAGTTCCATTTTATGTTTTCTTAATTCTTGATCTTCTCAGTCATTACAGTTGCAGGCTACTTGGGATTTTTTTTTTGGTGTTTGGGGAGATGTTTCTTCTGTTTTGCAACATATGGTGGTGTTGAACTGATGGTTGGACTTGATGATCTTAGAGGTCTTTTCCAACCTAATGATTCTATGATATATTCTAAATATCTGCAGGCCCTTGTATGCTAAGATGTGGCCTGTGCAAGAATGCTATCTTGGACTGTTTCTCCTTCGTCTTTATTACCAGTTGCTAATTTCAGCCACGTCTTGGAAATAATTGTTTTAAGAATATTAAGTTCCTATGAGTGTAATGGAAGTAGAAACAAGTGACTCTAACAAGGGAAAGGTGTATTGTGAGCGCCACTGTACCAAATACCGGAGCTTTCATCTACTGGGGACATGACAAAGTCTCTCAAGCATGGTATCAAAACCTCCATAGTTTTATGTAGTCCAAGTGTTAAGGCTTGTTCTTGAGTACTTAGTTTCAATCTTTAGCGACAAGCTTCACTGTTGACATTTACTTAAAGTGCAACTTTATGTTTAGTATTTAGCATTTACCTGTGGACTAATCAGAGGAGGCCTATCGAATTTGGGAATAAAGAGTATTGTAACAGCTGAAGTTTCATCAATGCCTGCATGTAAGTAGTTCACATTCACATTAGCTCACTTGGTAACTTCCCTTACTGACTTCATCACCGTAGCATGTATCAAGGTGGGATTAGTTTGAAGCTGCTGGGCCATAGGAGTCAGTATGAACTTAAGGATATGGCTTGTCACTAAATGCTTTAGTGTTTAGCAAATACTGACAGAGGGTGAGCCTCCATGATACGGAGTGGAACGCGAAATTAAAAAGTTGTATTTGCGTTTGGAAGCATCAAATGCATTAAGGATGTACGTCCAGAAGTCTGTTTGAACAAGTGAGGATAAACGGATACATGGTCTTTCTCTACAGAAGTCGGCAAGAAAGTTAAGGTGGACTTAAAAATTTCCACAGACTTTGCACAAATTTGAAATTTAACTGACAAAACTGTTGTGATGTGGGACATGGATGAACTCAAAAGAAGAAAAAGCTGTTCAGCTGGAGTTAAATTTAAATGCTAAATTTAAATAATGGCTAGATTGTTCACAATGATACCATAAGATTGAAACGTTCCTTACTATCTCTTTTAACAAAATGATTACAAGAAAATAATTACTTTGAAAAATAACTCTGATGGTGATACTTTGATCTGACTCTGCTTTTCCTTTGCAGGTAAATTTCAGGTGATGATACAGAAGATGTAGAGCACGTTGAAGTCTGGGTATCTACCTTAAAAATCCTGTGTGTGGATTCAGTACCTTGGTTCAGCTTTGTATGTAGTTTGTAAATTATAGCGGTGTGCAGCACAATTCCAAAATATGTAATAAATGTTCATCAAAATAACTTAACACTATCCTTGTATCTTGGTATGAAATTTATTCGATACCAAGGTATTAATGTCCACGTGGTAAAGACTGTCTACTCAAAAGTTTTCAGCAAAATATTTCAATTACCAGAACAGCACATATGGAAGACCAGAGGCACATTTTGAGAACAGAGTAAAAGCCTGACCAAGACTAAATTGGAATAAGAAATTAATGTGTTTTGTGTCACCTAACACGAATGCCCAACTGCAGCCTTTCCCTATTCACTCCAAACTGTGATTAGCACATGAACCAACAGCCTTCATTAACGATGTTCAGTGGAGCATTAATTCCTTCCTAGGAACAATATGAGGCAGAAGAAAAGATAACTTACTTCTACATAGTTAAACCGTTTCTCCTGCCTCCCTAAAATTAGCAGCTGTTTTTTGTGTCAGAACAATTTTACAGCTGAGGTCATCTATACTGGCCAAAGAAGGAAATTTGTTTTAGCTTGTTGGGCATAAACTCAGTATTAATGTAATTGTTTTTAATTGCTAGCTACAACTCACTTCTGTAATGAGTGTGCAGGAAGATGATTAGGCCTGCAAGAAGCTATAAAGACATCACCAAGACTCTTGGACATTGGGGTTTGCTAGACACTGCTTGTTACAAGATTTGCGTAGCAATACATACCTTGCTGTAGGTAAGCATGGAAACACCTCGTTAACGCTTTATGTGAACTTTGCTGTAAGATTTCTCTGTTGGCAGGTTCAGGCCTTATCCTTTCAAATGAATCATGATAGAAACTTACTTTATTCAGAAGTGTGAGAATGCCTTGTGATAGTGTTTCTACTTTGAGACCAGTCAGTAGCAAGCTAACTAGACAAACTAATGTGCTAAAATAGCACCTTTCATTGTTGTAACTATCTTGTGTGTTGGGAGAAGTGTATGTTGTCCAGTTGCACGGTGGGCAAGAACAGTGGAAGCTGATCTTCCCAAAGCTCTAGGGAAGGCCTGACGTTTGTGATGGATCAAGCCTTTTCTAGATAGCTGCTACAAGCTGTAGATTATAAATGTAATAACCAGGGGCTTATTATACTTGAGTGTAAGATGTGACCAAATTCTGATCTTTTCAGGTACTGTGAATGCTAGTTCAGATCAGTTGTAACTGAGTAACTTGACAGTTGTAGGAAACCCCTAGAGTAGAACTTGAACTAGCAGAATGCTGTGCTACTGTTCATAGAATTAGCAAAGATGAAAGTACCTACCATAGTACTCCGTGTTTCAGTTTGACTGACTGAAAATGTTGGGTTCTTGTACTGGTAAGTTTATAGGAAGGCTGTTGTTCACCTTCCTCACTCAGATTTTTTGAAATTGTAGGGCTAGAGAATTGGCTAACAAGTATTCTTGCACTTCATGTGTTCTTCAGTTGCCAACTCATCCTGCTTTCAACATGCTCAAAACCTTACTAAACAGACTAGAAGTAACTTGCACTGTGTGTCTAATAGATGGACATTTCAATGTTGCACATTTGAGGCATCTGCAGTGTGGCAGACATTCAGTATCAGCATATACAGAATCATTGTTACTTGCCTCTCCTGAACTAAAACTCTAGTAGTTACTGTAATTCACTTCGATTTTTCACTTGACAGTTAAGACGACCATTCCAGATGCAAAAGTGCCAATCATTCGAAGACATATTAAAGGCTTATCAACAATTGGCTTTGGTTAATGATTATTTTTAATAGCAAGGGGAGGGACTTAAGTTCTATAATATGCAGAAAGCAGATGTCTGTTAATGTTGTGCATCAATTTGCTGCTATCAGCAGAATGTGTAGTTCCCTTAACATGGATTTTCAATTGTTGAAGATAATTAGAACCAGAAGGAGTCAGGTATGTACCAAGTGGATCCTGATACTCTTGGCAAAGCACTCCATGTTAAATATATAAATAAGTGAGCTAATGTAGTTGTCAAGATACTATACAGAAAGTAAATTTGTTCGTTCTGTTTAATAAATGCTCCTACTAAAAGCATTCAATCCAGCTGTGTAATTTTCACTTGTTTTTGCAACTGTTCTCTAAAAAAGAGTGTTACTACACTTTGTTACTTTGTCATGTTTATGTTTTACTAAAATAATTGTTTCAATAATTTACTTGCTATAGCTGAACAGCTTTCAGCAGTGCTTAAGCTCAGGAACCAAAGCTTCAGAAAACACGTTCAGTCCCAGTTTTGTAGATTTCTGTAGTAAGGCTGCTGTTGAACAGTATGAAGAATGAGAAAAGCCACAGTATTTAAGAACATGTTACAATGCTTCAGTTTTATTAAAAAAGCCCTCAAGGGGTGTGTGTTGGATAAAGAACAATCATTTGTAATGTAACCTCAGACTTCACCTAATAGCAGTGTCCACCGGATTACTCAGATGGTAGAAATTCCTAACCAAGACTGTAGTTTACAGACAGTAGCTTGAGAGATGATGCCAGACACTTCACTGACCATTTTACGATGACGGTGGTGATGACAGCGGAAATACTGAGAAACTCATACTAAAGCTCAGCTTAAGTTATACATAGCTGTCCCAAATGCATTACCGTGAGGGTGTTCTGAAGGGCTGTGTAGTACTTCAGGTCTGAACAGTGCAGTCTCACTGTTAATGCTGCTTGTACTACGGCAACACAAAGTACTCGATACTCTCAGAACAGTCTAGGAAGGCTCATCAGCCAGGTCACGTTGATCGAAGTACCTAGTGGGGAGAAGTAGAAATACGGTAACAAACCTCTAATGCAACGTACTCCTTACTGTGCTCAGAGTTGTTAGACCCCTGGCTTTCTAGCTCTTCTTCTAATGTTTTTATCATAATCAGAGCTTTGCAGTTCAGGGGACTCAGATGAGGAAACCAATAAGTTTACTCTTAGGTTCATCTTAAGTCCTTTTAGCTAAGTGTATTTGCTACATAGGCCCAGGTTACTTGAATTGTCTTCAACTTGTAAAAGAATCTAGGTTAGGACAAGAGCAATCACACATTTATTCTGGACATACTTTACTAGTTTAGGTATGTAAGTTGCATTACCTGCTAACTAAGCAGATTATCAGGTTCAGAGCTGATATTTGTTCTTCGTTCTTGTTCTCCTGAAAGACAAATAAATAGCCGAACAGTTCTGTTATCCATGTCAAATAGAAAAACTGTTACATGCTGTGTTATGTGCTTGTAGTCTTCCCTTCATTCTTGAGCAAACTTAAGACATGAAACATTACTTACCAAGACTTCAAGATCTGAAAAATTATCCTCCTAAAATTTGCAAAGTTCAGCAAGTCCTTTGTGCAATGTTATATTAAATCTTACCTCTAGTACTCTGACTTCTGAGCATCGTCTTGCCAGCTGTCGAATAAGGGAGTGAGCTTCAGGTAGCAAAGGTTTTTCAAGGCATGCCAACAGTGCGTAAAGCCATCTACCCTGTGTGGATTTAATTAACAAAGTTTTAATTATGAGCATTTCCTTGAAGTTTCAGACAGTTCTTGTTATACAGAGCAGGCCTGGAGTGTAGGTCATAAAATTACATTTAAGTGCTACTGCCAGAATTGAAAAGTTTGAAAGCCAAATTAGACCCTACATAATATAATTTTGTGCCTCTAGATAAGCTTCTTGTAAGCAGTACTCCAGAATTTCCTGGTATTTTCTGGAATACTGGCCAAGATAGAAATTAATACAGCTTACACTATTAAAGTCTGAGGGAAGGGTAATTTTAGTAATATCTAAAGATTATTACTCAGCTATTAATTTTGAACTTCACAAACTGTGGAAAAATATTCCTGAAGAGTGAATGTATCAAGCCAGATCTTTATGGAATTAATGATGTTAGATAAGCTGTAAGATTTGCACCACTGTGAAAACATGTCCTTCGCATTTTACTTCACTGCATTCTGACAAACACAACTTCTGTTACCAGTCTAAGTTCTTAATTCCAGTGTGCAGTGGCTTTCATTACAGGAATAAACTAAAAGTCAATGTGCACATTCTCTGCAGCATATTGGTTAAAAAGAAAGCAGTCCTACAGAAAAGGACAGCACATGAGAGGCCTTTCAGTGACTCAAAAATAGTGAAACTGTGTTCAGTATTATGGAAGCAATTTTTCATTACTTTCTTACTTTGTGGTACTGAATGAGATGAGATGCAACCACCAAGGTCTTCTGTAGATACGATGCCATTATGTAGCTAGTCAATCTAGTTGTGGCCAAACTCCGTGCTCATGTACCCTGTCAATCAATTTCTTACTAGGTTTGATTTGTCACCACAGTAACGCAGCTAAGCTTCCTGGTCTGTGCTGCACATAGAAAGACAAAACGTGTCTTTGCCAGCACACTGTGGTGCATCTCCAGACTAAAATGAAGGCGTCGGTCAATACGGTGTGCAGCACCCAACAGCATAGACTGGTCAGAACCAAAGCTGCTGCAGTCTGACCCTCTCCCCAGCGCCGATGCTCATCCAACCCTGTGGTTTAAGTTAGTGCACGGAGCAATAAAAAGGGTGGTGGTGAGCTGGCACTACTTGATAGATCTGTATCTGTTCTGTTTTGTAATTAGCCTTCCAAGAAAGTTTGGTGAATACTTATTTTATTATCTAATCAAGAAAGTTTTGAAAGTAACTGATACATGAATCTAGAGAACTCTTTAGAAATTAAAATAATTTCATAGAAAACTATGAACAATTTATCCCTTTTATAATGTGTTCATATGCAAGTAGTTAGAATAAATTAAAAATTACCAGTTCCGGAGTAAATTTTTTCTCTCCAAACCAGCTTATCAGGTATTCTAAGACACTGGTTACTGTTGCCTTCAAAAGAGGAACAGAAAAAGACAATTCAATACCTGCAGTGTTTTATTTTGCTGTCCTTCTACCCGAAGGATAATACTCTATTAAAAGGAATGTGATTTTAAAAAAAATATACACATTATGTATTTCTACTCCACTGTGATACTATAGCATATTTATTCCAGGCTGAAGTTACATATAAAGGTAAAGTAACCATCAAATCACCAGTTCCTAGAA